CTAAGTCCTAAGAGGAAAAAAATATCTTCAAAACAATGAAATATATGCTTGATGATTTTGGCTTGGTGCTGCTTTTCCCCTTGGGTTCTGCTGGAGACACCTTCCAGCCACCACTGCCCTTGCTCTCTGCGTGGCTGCTGGCTCCTGGAGGGGGGAGAGCAGCTGAAGAGGGGCTTTGGCTATGGATCATCCTGAAGCACTCCTGCATTTTTGCTTTTCTTACCTCATCAGCCAGCAGAGGATTTTGTCATTGCCCCCCAGGGTTGCCCATGAGTGTTTGCCCACCAAAACCAGGCAGAGTCTCCAGCCTGATACACCTGCTAAGAGCCAGTGCTGCAGCCTCGCCTCTGAAGCTTCATGCACGATGGGCGTTCACCAGGTTTCATTTAGGGATGAACAGGGTGACTGGGCTCAGAAGCTGGAGGTGCACTATCAGAAAAGAGCAGCAGGTCTCTGGCCCAGTGCTGCCTTGCCTTTGCACTTCTCCATCACATTCCCTGCAAAGAGATGAATCACCATTTCCTTTTGGGAGCTATCACCCTCCTTGTTGCTTTTCTGAGATGCAGGCACCCAGATCAGATGTGCTTTATTTCCTTGTAATGCAATTTTCCTGCTTGTTTCTCTAGGGTGCTGTTCTACCCAGTTTTTTCTAGCCATCTTTCTATGTTGGTTTGCTTGTCTTCTCCCATTCCCTGCCACTGGTTTTCCTTAACACCATCTCCCATGCTCCATCTGCCCCCTTTGCAACTGTTGCTGGCAACGGTGACTCCTGCGCTGCCATCTGCTTTGCAGTGGCCAGGGCATACCTGCACCTTACTCCACAATAAATGCTGCCATTCCTTTGCGTAGGCAAGCAAAGATGCAATGCACACTCTGGCAGGAAGTACCTGCAGTTCTGGACGGAAAGGGACCTGGGAATTCAATGGGACCTGGAGAAAATGGAGGGAGAAATTGACAGGGTATCGTGGGGTAGGGATGGGAGAAAAGTCTTGGGCAACAGTCTCGGGGAGTTGCCTGTTGCATCTCTGAGTCAGGGGAATTTTATTGAATAAGGTGACCTTGGCACAGGAGCATGAAAAAACTATTGGAGGAGAGAAAGGAAGAAAAGGTAGATATTTTCCTGAGAGCTCAGCTCCCTGCACCACATCCCTGCAGAACTGAACATGCTCCAGTGCCAGCACAAGAGCAGGATGAAGTGTGACCATAACAAATTAGAGTATTTGTGGCTGTGATTCACCTGGGCGTGGTCTCTGCTCTCCAAAAGCCTCCTAGATTGAACCCTTTTGGGAAATCAGGCAAACCACGTGTTTCTCTGTCCTACCTGAACTCTACTGGAGGCAGGCATGGGGCTTCCCAGCCCAGCATGTATCATAGGCACCACTCAAGAGCTTCATTTCTCTCACCTTTCTGTTGTCTTGCCTTCTGGTCTCTTAAGTTGTCACTCTCTTCGCATACAGAGCTGTCCACCTGCCAGCACATACATCTGCACCAATTGCAGCTGGGCCTTGGCCTCCCTGAAAGCCACTATTGCTATCCACATAATTAATAACCACAACCTTCTGTACAAGGAGATCTTTTTTCAGTGAGTTGCAACATATAATGATGCTTGTAGGGAACAGACTGCTGAGTATCTCATGCTGAAGGAAGCCAAATCTTCCCATCATGACATAGTGAGATCAATAAATATCTCCATTGCAGGCAAATTTGTCATGGCAAATGGCTTCAGCCTGAGGGGTACAAGCTGAAATCCAGCTGAAATCTGTAATGAAGTAACGAAAGTCATAATGGTCTCATTGAGACTCTCCAGTAACTTGTGTAGATTTGGGAATGTCAAGCTGCTCCCTGAAGAGGATCTAGTGTCCCTGTGATGGGCTAATGTAGATGCAGGTGGGGAAGAACCAAAACACAAGAGTACTCATTTGGCCCTTATGCAGCTGCTCACTCACAAAGTAAGGACTGGAGCCACAGCATCACTGTCCTCCCATTATCACCTTAGTGACAGCAGCATGGTGAACTCACAGCATCACTTCATTTGTGAACAAAGAAGAAGGTTGAATGTTTTCATAGTGTCTTCAAATCCCTTCAAATCCCTCTAGCCCAACTACCTTCACAGAACAGTGTTTTCTACCTTCCCTTATGGAAAGCTTTTTGATAATATTTGAGCAATGAAGAAAACACAGCAGCTGTTAACATCATTTTCCCTTTGAAGCAGATTGTCCTCAGGTAAAGCAAAACGCAATTAAGGTACTGGCAAAGTCAGTTATATTAGACAATCCATATCCTCATAATGCAGATATTTCCTTCAATGTCTGTCACCAACATCAAATCCCCAATCGCAGCAAGATAATTGGCAGCCTCATTTGGGGGGAAGATGAAATGGCTTGTGTTGCCACCAAAACCAGCCTGGATTTTGTTTGTGTAAATCTTGGAGCCTGGGGGTGGTATCGCTCATCTAGCTACATTGCTGGAGAGTCATGTATCAAGGACAGGCTTCTGAGGTGGGTTCTGTCTCTCTCCTATTTACTACTCCATTAATTACAAACCAGATGTCCGGGGAAGGTTTAAAAGTCAACTTTATTTGAAATTCTGCAATATAAAAAACTCAGCTACAACAATTATTTTTTTTTTTTGTGGTGGGGAGGGGAAACATGAAGGAGAGGAATGTTCTTTAATCCTTTGCTTATAGTTCTTTTCTATTTTATTTTTAACTCTTATTTTTTAAAGTTGTGGTTATTTTGTCTTTTACTAAATGGCAAAAGGCATTTCTCTTTTTCTTTCTGCCCCCTCAGCCCCCAGAAGGTTTTTCTTTGAGAACCAGACCTCTCCCAAGACCTTCTCCCTCCCAGCTGGAGTTTCTGTCATACATTCCTTTTGCTGTTTATGCCCCAAGACTGTTCAGAAACATAAATGCAGCTGCCTACTTGCTTGACAATTAATGAACCATGTTACACCTCCTTTTCAGTGTCTGCACAGGCTTCCAGGTGTCCTGGAGCTAATGGAGACATGGTTGGGACTGAAAGGAATGGTATCCCTACGTCACAGCCAGAGATCACAGTCCCCGGATGGCTGGAATGTAGAAGGACCTGGGTGATGAGATGCTGGTACCATACTCTGGAGCTGTCTGGGCAGTCAGTTGGAGCATCTTCCAGAATCACAAAATCATAGAATCATTTAGGTTGAAAAAGAACTTTAGGATGATTGAATTCAACCATAAACCTAGCATTGCCAAGTCCACCATTAAATCATGTCCCTAAAAGGCAGCATCAACAAGGAGGCAGAGCACTGCTGTACTACTCTTGTTTCCATTCCCTGACCAGAAATGAGGGGATGGACTGAGGAAGTAAAGAAAGTAAGAGGAAGAACTTGTTCCTCTTTTTTCACTTTGCCAGTTTTCCACCAGCTACTGCATTTTTCCACTAGAAATTTGATTTCCTATTTACCGTGGGATTAACCCTTTGGTTAATCTAAGGTCATCTAAGGATGACTCTCATGTGGAAGTGGCCAATATGTTTAATCAAGGCCAACCTGATTTTATCAGTCTGTAGAGAATACAGTGTAAGGTCAGGAGCAATAACATTGTTCAGTTTCTTGCTTAGGAAAGTTTCAACCTTAAAGAAAGTTTCCCTGTTGTATAATGTTCAGGAGGGTGAGGTGCTGCACTCTCAGCTATATGATGGGACTAATGGAATGGAATAATCCAGTGGAAAAAAATCTAGCAAATTTCTACAGGATCTGTGTGTGTGTGTGTGTGCGCACAAAATTGTTAACTATCTTTATAAATCATCAGAATTTTCTAATTATAAAATTTTTGGAAGGAGCAAAGGACGAAGGCAAGAAGATAAACCCATGTAACAGTTTGGAAAGCTTAGAAGCTGCAAGAGCTGGGTGTTAATGCCAGTTGCCGGGGTTACACTCTCTTGTAAATGTGGGGAGGGAGGAGAAATAATCTGTAATCTTCTAGTGGGAACCAGAGGACTGGGAGTCTGTACTGGGGCAGGGACAGCCTAAGGAAACCAGTATATTTTTTGAGAGAAACGAGTCACAAGGTGGCTGTAACAATTTGGATCCCAGTGCAATTTTGTCAGAGATCTGAGGGCACTGGCACATGCTGCAACAAGACCAAGGATAGGATGATGAGTTCTACAGTTTCTACAGATGATCAGTTCTACCTTACAAACTGATCATAAACTGGAGGCAAACTGAGAAGGCTAAAAGAAGGCTGTGCTGGAGGGCACTGTGGAACAAGAAGGAGGCACAGACAGGCACCTAATCACAGGGAAGAGCTGAGAAACACAGCCAAAAGGGCAGTGGATGGAGAGGTGGAGCAGTGATTCCACATGGGCGACTTCAGGAAGAGAGACGCTAAGCTTCCCCCAAGCCTTCCTGTGATGTCTGGGCCATGTCAGACCATGACATGGGGCCTAAATAAACTCTCCAATGCAACTCCAGTCTACGGATTTTACTTGAAAAATGTTTAGAGTTCCAGCAAACACTTAATACACCTGCTTTCCAGCTGGTGCTCTATCTCCTGCTACTCCTGTGCAGGAAAAGGCATCGCTGGGTTCCTCACCCCTTGGGATTGGAAGCTGAACTGAATATTTCAGAACTGGACATTCTTACCCCCGACTGTTTTTGCAACATGACAAAAGCAAATGGAACTTTAATAGGAACATTGTTTACAAGTGGAGGAGGAACATATAAAATAGTGGATCTGTAACCAGAGACTCAGTTATTCAGTGAAAAATGTAGCTGGGAAGTCCAGTTACAAAGGTAAAAATTGTTAGATAAAAATCATACAGTCAGTGGAGTGACCCAACTGCACAAAAGTGTGGCTCATTGGTCCCAATTACAGAGGTTTGTACTAACAAAGGGTGATCTCTAGCCTGTGGAGTTCATAATCTAATCTAAGATTCATTGCAATCATGAAAATGGAGGAAAATGGGACAGTAATGTAAAACATGATTAAGACTTTGCTAAACAAATATAATCAGAGCACTTACACAAGCGGATGAGTGTTTTGAGCAGGTGGGGTGAGTTCTGGTCTTGCATGAGGGCTTCAAATCTTCCTTGCCACTTCTGGAAAGCCCCTGTATTCAGAAGTCTTGTTTCTCCCTTTCTCCTGGTGCTCTTTACTTCTTCCGGCTAGGGGATGCTCCCAGCGCGGTGAGTCCGACCGTCCTACCCTGGCAAGGGATGTCTGTCCCTGAGCGGGGATGGAGCGAGCTTTCGCGCTTTCGTTTCCAATGGCACGCCATCTCGTGTATACTGCGGGCAGAAGGTCTACGGACGGGACAGCACCCTCGTGCCTCCAAATCCAGGCTCGGGTTCATGAGCGGTCAAATAGGAGATGCTAGTACCGCGCGGTGGGGCCGCTGCCAGTACGCTTCATTGCGCGGTGGAACAGAAGCGTTGCTAAAAAGGCGATTAGTGGTTTAGCAAACACAACTCCTGCCTCGCCCCAGGGGCACACCAGCTGCCACCAGACTCTCAGCACCCACGAACGGGCCGGGAGTTGCATCGGGGCGGCGTGGTGGGGGAGGTTCGGGAGCTTTTGCATCACACCTCAGTCTTGCCTCCCCTCGGCTCGGGAGGCTGCCCGCGGGTGAGGCTGCCAGGGGACCACAGTCACGGCCACTACGCAGAGCCGTGATTTAGCATTTTACGCCAAGGTGTCAGCCCTGCTCTTGCATTGGGAGCTCACCGCAGTACCAGAGCTTTCTGGCTACTTGAGGGAAAACTCCCGATGTGGCGGTGCAAGCGGACAGAGCCGGTTCCCAGCTCTGGCTCCCGTCAGCGGAAAGGCGTGCGGGGCGGTCAGTGCGGCCCCGGCGGCGGATGAAGGCTCCGGCACAAACACCCACGACAGGCTCTCCTGCTGAGCCCTGCCTGGCCGCTCGGGCGAGAGGCCGCTGCCGTGACCCAGCCCAGGGTCTCTCCCGTCTCTGACCCGTTCCCGGCCCCACATCCCACTCAGTCGCGCAGGGCGCCGCGGGGTGCCCTCCCCGGGACACCCCGCCCGTCCCCGCAGCCCGAGCGCGCCCGCCCCGGCAGCGCCGGCCCCAACTCCTCATTGGCCGCGGCCGCCGGAGGGCGGATGACGCCCGGGCGGGAGCGGGCGCCGGGGGTATAAAGCCCGGGCGGGCCGGTGGCGCTGCGCTCCCGCCGCCCCGGACCGCCCCGCGATGCCGCGCGGCTTCCTCGTCAAGCGCAGCCGGCGCCCCGGTGGCTCCTACCGGGCTCGCCCGCGGGAGCAGGACCCAGACCGGGACCCGCCGCCCGCCCCTCCGCCGCCGCCGCCCCCGCCGCCCTCCGCCGGGGACAGCCCCACCGCTAGACAGGGGGCGGAGGAGGAGGAGGAGGAGGGCGAGGGGGAGGAGGGCGCCGCCGCCGCTTGCCCCGCGACGTGGCCCCCCGGCGGCGGCTGCAGCGGCCCCGGGGTCACCCCGCCGGAGGGCCCGGCCGCTTGGGGAGCGACGGGGCCGTGCAGCGTGGCGGGTCCGCGGGCGGCTCTTTTCGAGCGGTGCCTCAGCTCCCCCGCCTCCGCCGAGTCCTTTCCCCTGGCCGCCTCCTTCCCGCCCGCCGAGAAGCTGCTGCTGCAGCCGCGCACACCCCTGCCTGCCCCGCCGCCGCCGCCGGTGCCCGCGCTGAAGCGGCCGTCGCGGGCCAAGACACCTGCCAAGAAGGGCAAGGCCACGCGGAAGCTGAGCTTCGCCGACGAGGTGACCACCTCGCCCGTGCTGGGGCTGCGCATCAAGGAGGAGGGGCCCGAGGGCCGGCCGGGACCGCCGGCGGGGCGCACGCCGCTGGGCGAGTTCATCTGCCAGCTGTGCAAGGAGCAGTACGCGGACCCGCTGGCGCTGGCCCAGCACCGCTGCTCCCGTATCGTGCGCGTCGAGTACCGCTGCCCCGAGTGCCACAAGATCTTCAGTTGCCCCGCCAACCTGGCATCTCACCGCCGCTGGCACAAGCCGCGTCCCGGCCCCAGCGCCGACGGCGCCGCCGCCGCCCCGCCGGGCAAGGAGAACAGCCCCGAGCGGCGACTCCGCGGCCCCGCCGCGCCCCCTCCACAGCCCCCGCCGCCGACCCGTCAGCACCGCGGCGGCGCGGACAGCGCCGGCGGCGCCCCGGCCGCCTCCGGCCCCGGCCTCGGCCCCGCTCACGGCGGCGCTCCCGGCCCCGGCGGGGAGGCGTTCGCCTGCCCCTGCTGCCAGAAGCGCTTCCGGCGGCAGGCTTACCTCCGCAAGCACCTGGGCACCCACGGGGCAGCGCGGCCGGCCGCCTTCGGCCCGCCGGAGCGCGGGCCCCTCGCCTTCGCCTGCCACCTCTGCGGCGCCCGGTTCCCCTCGGCGGATATCAGGGACAAGCATCGGCTGTGGCACGCCGTGCGGGAGGAGCTGCTGCTGCCGCCACCGCCGCCCGCCGGCGTTCCCGAGGGCGGCGCGGCGGGCGGCGAGCGGCAAGGCTTCCCCTGCAAGCACTGCCCCGCCACCTTCTTCAGCGCACCCGGGCTGGCGCGGCACGCCAGCAAGTGCCACCCCCCGGAGAGCAGGCAGGTCCTGCTGCTCCAGGTGCCCGTCCGGCCGGGCTGCTAGGCCCGCGGCCGCCTCGGTGGGACTGCTCCGAGAGTCCGGGCTAGCCGAGCGGGTCCTGGCCACGCTGTAATTCCTATGGAAAGTCGCGGCTCTCACGGTTATGACGGCGGAGAAAGCCGCCCGCGGACTCCCGCCCGCCGCCTCTCCGGCCGGTGGGTAGCGATGCGCGCCCCGCACGGGCACGGCAGCGGGCTCAGCCTACGGGCGGCACCGCCGCCGCTCCACGGGGCCGGCCAGCAGCACTCACACCGAGCCCCGCACGGGAGGGAAGGCCGCGCAGACCCCCAGCTGCCGGGGCGGCTGAAGGACTGGGGGCGGCTGTGGGCACGGTCCCGGGCGAGGAGTCCTGCCAGCATCTGCCGGGAGGCGGGCAATGCCCGGGCGCCGGGTACGGGCCCACCGCTGGTATATCTTCCGTAGCGACTCTCGGATAGAAGTACAGCTGTACATATGGTATTTAAAGAGAGGAATTATTTTTCGTGAGAAAAGGAGCCTGATCTAGTGACCTTGTTTTAATAGCCTTAGCCCCTGAGCTTCAACACTGAAGTTATGGTGAGGTGTTTTGTTTGCTGTACTCTGTACTAAGATAGCCGAGAAAGTAAATGTTCATATTAAGTCAATGTCAAGTCATATAATAGCTAGTATGGGAAACTAATTGTGCTGTCTGCTTAATTGAAATACAAGGTGTTGATCTATGTATGCATCTCCTGCTTACTCTGTGTCTCTGTACTCTAGCGACTGTGTAGTAGGCAAAACACGTCTCCGGCAGTTGCCCATTCCAAAACCTGCTCTGTTAGTGGTTTGTTAGTGCAGCATAGACAGTAGCCAGGACCGCAGTTCAGTGTCACCTGGCTGGGCAGTGTGTGGCCCTGCCAGGCCCTGCATCGTAGGCAGGCAGGCAGAAGGGACTCTCTCTGCAGCTGGCCTTTTCAGGAGGCCTCCGACCCCTCTCCACTGTGAGCTGCGCTTTTGATATGACTTCCTCCAAGTCTTGTGAACAGCTGAAATTAGGACATGAAACAGTCTTTAGACGTTTTGCTAAAGTGCAGATGACAGGCTACCTTCCTTCTCCCTAACAACATCTACTTTTAGCAAAGCATCCTGTGGTGTGTTCCCTGGCTTTGACAGTGCTCTGGCCAAATGCTTTGAAATGCTGTTGAATTTACCAGCTACTGACATTTCAGCCATATTTATTTATTTATTTATTTATTTACTTATTTAATTTTTCAATTTGAGTGCTTGTTTCTAAATGTTATAGCAGATGAGGCTAAAAACAAGGGCAAAACAATTCAATAAAAGATTTTAAACGTAGCTCACACCTTTTTTCAATTCAGCAGGGCAAAGTGGGTCAGCTGGTGATTTCTGAAGAACCAAACTGATCCCAGTTGTAATCTTTGTTCTGACACTCTCTCTGAAATAAAGCATGTAAAATATTTCAATCTCTTGATTAGCATCCTCTAAAGCCATTATTTCTGTCATGTTACATTTTGCTTCACACAAAAAAAGATTCAGATGTATCATGCCCAAAGGCTGCAAGCAAGTGATAAATGCTGTTTTAAATGCGCTTCACGGACTTTTGTCATTTTAGTTCCAGGACCTGGACAAATGAATTAAAACAATATAACCTGATATAGCCAAGATTTGCTCTCTGACAGAGGAGGCTAAACTCACATCTCACTCTTCTGACAAAAATAAAACATGTTTTAAGTTGTGCATTTTTCCGTCATTTGTTGGTAACAATGGCAAAAATGCCCATTTATGCATTTAATGGGTTCGCTCCTGGAGAAGGTCACTATGTTTTTTTAAAATCATCGTCCTTTCTCCACTTGTGCAGTCAAAGATGAAGGGCGCCAGACCACACAAATGTGATGATTATTAACAGCTCCTAAAATCAGCACTTGAACCAGCCTGCAGGAGAGAACGTTCTGTGCTTTAATATTACGTGCAATGTATTTACTAGATCTGGGGAAAAGTTTTCAGTCTGGCATTCTTTTGATGCATTGGGAAAGAGCTCCTAAGAACTCATATACTTCTTAATACAAATGAAAACTAAGCAGTGTATTGCACTTAATTGCTCCATGTGTACGTAGTACACAATTCTTCCATAAACTGGAGTAAGAATCTAGTCAGTGAGGTGAATGACTAATATGCAAAAGGTGGTAAGAATAATTTTATTGTATTATTAAATAGCATGTCTTCTTTTCAACCATTACAAATTTGTTGATACTACATGAATGACAATACATAATTTCTTTTTATTGTTGCCCATATGATATATTTATACATGCAGTTAGTACCGATGCCATGCTACATTTTGTTAACAGCATTTTGTTGTTTACTAGACTCAAAATGTGAGCATTTCACCTTTCGTAGGAAAATACCTCTGGGTGGGTGGAACTCGTGCACTAACCTGCGCTCACAGGGTTGAAATCAACAGCATTTCAGGCCAGGCTCCCGGAGCATGTTCCCTTTTCTTCCCTAGTACCCATCATCGCAGCAATGAATTTCTATTAGGAAAGTGTTTGTTTTTAGATTTTTTTTAATGTAAGAAAAAAGAATATACATCTAGATGGAGCATCCCAATGACAAAGACTAAAACCCATGAAACTTGATAGCATTTACTATTGATACCACTTGGAAAAGCAAACATTATAAAAATATTTGGAAGCCAAGCATAAATAGAATTTCAGCACAGTGATTTTTTTTCTGGCATAGATTATCTGCAGAGTTATGAAATGATACATTGCTTTGTGAAGAAAGAATTGGTGCTATGAGCAAATTATTTCATTTGGACTCTGTAATGCTTGAAAGGCCATTGAACTATTTTATTCTGAACATAAATAATCTGTACACATCCTGTGCATTAACATTGTGACATCTGACAAAGACTTCACATATGCAACGTCAATTTAAAATTGTACATTCATTTTCAAATTGTACATATTTCTTTCTTTGTTACAGAGAAAATTGCAATGGGGCACAATAAATACAGTGTAATCCAGCTGCAGTCTCCAATTCCGTATGTAACTCAAGATCAACCAGAGTTAAAAATGACTACTGTTAAGATACCATAATCATCCACGAGGGTAAAAGGTGCAGAAGACAAACTGCACTGCAATTAAAAAAAGAAAAAAAAAAAAAGGCAGGCAGACTGAAGTTTGATAAAAAACCAATGCTAAAATATCAAAGTAAAATTCCAGTGTCACTGTTTAAAATAAACATACAGAAAAGGAGTATGCAGGGCACAGGCGCACACACATGAGAGACATTACTCTTGAGTGAAAGGTATGAGCAGTGAAAAAAACCCCGGCGCTGAGTTGCTGCGGGAAGGGTGGCCAATTGCTGTTCACTAGAAAGCTTCGGGCATCTCGCCACTTAGGATTTGTTGGCTGAGCCAGAGGAGCGGCGCAATTTCATGGACATGCGGCTCTTGCTAGTCCGAGGAGACATTGGAGAGGCTAAG